GCGGGCCCTGGTAGATCCCAGCTACTCGGGAACTGGGAGGGCAGGAGATGGGCGTGCAACCCGGTTGAGCGGAGGCTTGCAGTGAGCTGAGATCCGGCCCACTGCAACTCCAGCCTTTGGGTGAACAGTGTCAAGACCCCGTCTCAAAAAAAAAAAAAAAATATAAAAAGTGTGGAGGTGTGTGGATCTGTGAGTGTGAGAGTGTGTGACTGTGAGAGTGTGGGTGTGACAGTGAGTGTGTGTGGGTCTGTATGAGTGTGAGCATGACTGTGTGTGTGTGGGTCCGTGAGTGTGTGACTGTGAGAGTGTGTGAGTGTGTGGGTCTGTGAGTGTGAGAGTGTATGAGTGTGACTGTGTGTGTGGGTCTGTATGAGTGTGAGCGTGACTGTGTGTGGGTCCGTGAGTGTGTGTGTGTGACAGTGAGAGTGTGTGTGTGGGTCTGTGAGTGTAAGAGTGTGTGGGTGTGACTGTGGGGGGGGTCTGTATGAATGTGAGCGTGACTGTGTGTGTGTGAGTCCATGAGTGTGAGTGTGTGAGTGTGTAGGTCTGTGTGAGTGTATGTGACTGTGAGAGTATATGGGTGTGTGTGTGTGGAGGGGTCTGTATGAATGTGACTGTGACTGTGTACGTGGGTCCATTAGTGTGTGTGTGTGACTGTGTGTGGGTCTGTGAGTGTGACAGTGTGTGGGCATGACTGTGTGTGGGTCTGTATGAGTGTGAGTGTGACTGTGTGTGAGTGTGTGGGTTCATGAGTGTGAGAGTGTGTGTGTGTGGGTCTGTGAGTGTGAGCATGGGTGTGACTGTATGTGGGTCTGTATGAGTGTGAGCATGACTGTGTGTGTGTGGGTCTGTGTGAGTGTGTGACTGTATGTGGGTCTGTATGTGTGTGACTGTGAGTGTGTGAGTGTGTGGGTCTGTGTGAGAGTGTGTGGGTGTGACTGTGAGTGTGGGGGGGTCTGTATGAGTGTGAGCGTGACTGTGTGTGAGTGTGTGGGTCCGTGAGTGTAAGAGTGTGTGAGTGTGTGAGTCTGTGAGTGTGAGAGTGTGTGAGTGTGTGAGTCTGTGAGTGTGAGAGTGTGTGAGTGTGTGGGTCTGTGAGTGTCAGAGTGTGTGAGTGTGTGGGTGGGTGTGTGAATGTGAGTGTTGTGTCAAAGTGAGGTGTGTGGGTGAGAGTTTGGGTATAGGTGTGTCAGTGTGAGGATGAGTGTGAGTGTGACTGTGTGGGTATGTGAACGAATTTTTTTTTGTTCTGAGACTGAGTCTCACTCTGTCGCCCAGGCTGGAGTGCAGTGGCACGCTCAGCTCACTGTAACTTCTGCCTCCCTGGTTCAAGCAGTTATCCTGCCTCAGCCTCCTAACTAGCTAAGATTACAGGCATGCACCACCACGCCTGGCTAATTTTTTTTATTTTTAGTTTCACCATGTTGGCCAGGCTGGTCTCGAACTCCTGACCTCGTGCTCTGCCCGCCTCGGCCTCCCAAAGTGCTGGGATTATAGGCGTGAGCCACTGTGCCCAGCCATGAATGTGTTTTGTGTGAATGTGACTGTATGGGAATGAGTGTGACTGCGTTGTGAGAATGAGTATGTGTGTGAGTGTGTTCGTGTGTGTGCGCGGGCGCGTGCAGCCACACCAGGCCCTGGTGCCGCCCCTCAATCTAGGCATTCTCCTGGGGCTCCATCTTGAACAGGAGGCCATTGGGCTGTGAGGTCACTCGGGGTTTGTCCTGAGCGCCCAGCACAGCGTCTGCCTCCTGTTTCCCTTCTCCCTGTGATTCTCTGATGTCACCCAGATCTTCCAGAACCTTTCAAAGGGAAATCAGAATTTTACACTTAATGAAATGAGAATAGAAAATGCAAGTAGCAGAGCCAGGCGTGGTGGCTCACGCCTGGAATCCCAGCACTTTGGGAGGCCAAGGCAGGTGGATTATTTGAGGTCAGGAGCTCAAGACCAGCCTGGCCAACAGGGTAAAACCCCATCTCTACTAAAAATACAAAAATTAGCCAGGCGTGGTGGTGGGCACCTGTAATCCCAATGACTCGGGAGGCTGAGGTAGGAGAGAATTGCTTAAACTGAGGAGACAGAGGTTGCAGTGAGCCGCGATCGCCTCACTGCATTCCAGCCTGGGTGGCAGAGCGGGACTCCAAGAAAGGAAGACAGAGAGAGAGAGAGAGAGAGAGAGAGAGAGAGAGAGAAAGGAAGGGCAAGCAGCAGGGAATCTGAGCTATGTCACCCTCTGCCTGTTGCTGACCCAACCCAAGAGCAACCTTAACAGCAGAAACTTCCTGAACCCACCCCTCGGGGCAGTCCTTGGGGTGATCTAGCTCTGTGAGCATCCTCTTGCTCCTTGACTTCCATTTTCTCGAACTGAAAGATGAGGTGAGACGCGTTAGCGGGTGACATCATGGAAGATCAAGTAGGGAATGTCCGGGGAAATCATGACCTTGTGGTCACTGATGTCATTAGAAGCCGCTGGGCACAAATAGGGAATGAGGATTCGCTCAGGTTCTCGGCCTGGCCCCTCCCTAACCCATGGCTTCTCCTCACAGGTGCTGGCTGCAGGATTCCACCTCCCAGAGGAGGAGGAGGAGGAAGAGGAAGAGGAAGAGGAGGAGGAGGAGGAGGAGAGAAAGGGGCTGCTCCCAGGGGCACTGGGCAATGCCTCACAGGGGCCGGCGCAGGTGTCCTGGCCCCAACTCCTCTCCACCTACCGCCTGCTGCACTCCTTGGAGCTCGTCTTATCTCGGGCCGTGCGGGACTTGCTGCTGCTGTCCAAAGCCGGGCACTCAGTCTGGCCCTTGGGGTTCCCAACATTGGGCCCCCAGCCCTGATTGGGTGGCTTCTTAGCCCCCTGCCCTTCACCCTTTAGTACTTTAGGACTGGCGTCTTGGCATCAGGGCAGCCTCCGCGTCATCAGCGTTGGACAAGGGAGGGCTTTTCCAGCCCCCTGCCCCAGGCCCTACCCAGTAACTGAAAGCCCCTCTGGTCCTTGCCAGCTATTTATTTCTTGGATATTTATTTATTGTTAGAGAGATGATGGTTTATTTATTGTCTCGGAGCCTGCTGGTCCTCCTTGGGCCGAGCCCCCATGCTGGGTGCCCAATAAAGCACTCTCATCCACCCCTGGCCTCCGCTTATCTTCTGGGAAGGGTTGCTGACACCCAGAGGGCAGGGCAGCCTGGAACGGGGTCAGCAACCTCTAGCCATCCTGAACCCCTCTCTGCTCCTACATTTTTGGGGTCCCTGGCCCATCTTCCCCTACTATGTCCTGCTCCGCCAGGCAGTTGCCATAGTAACCAGTGGCATCCTGAGGCCGAGCTACCGTTTTGGAAGCTCAAGGCAGCTCGTCTTTGATTCTGAGCAGTGCTCCTTAAGCCCCCCTAACCACCTTCCTTTGGCCTGGATGCGACTCCAGAGGTTTGTGTTACGCCTGCTCAGTTCTGAGGGTCTTGGTGCAGGGAGTTGGGCTGGGAAGCGGAAGTCAGAGAGGGAGGCCTATAAGGAGAATGATCGCTGTTCCCTCTCAGTCTTCCTTGCAGTCTTTATTTTTTTTATTTTGCTTTTAAAAGATGGGGGGGTCTTGCTATGTTGCCCAGGCTGGTCTCGAACTCCTGGTCTCAAGCGCTCCTCCCACCTTGGCCTCCCAAAGCTCTGGGGTGACAGGCATGAGCCCCCGTGCCCAGCCCCCATGCAGTCCAGATAGCTGACTCAGTCTGGAGAGGAACCAGGGCAGGCATCCTGAGACGTGGTCTCAGTGGAGTAGGTGGTCCACCAGCCTGTGTTGGAGAATCAGACTCCTTAAGTCAAGGTCTTCCCAGACGTCTGGTTTTGCCTGCTCCATGAATGATACATCAAGACGCTGAGGCCCAGAGGGTGGAGAAGATGTGTCCACGGTGGCAGAGGGAGCAGGGCTCCGTGGCGTCGGAGCGAGACTTCTGGCCCCTACTCAGGGCCTGGCTCCCAGAGCGCCGGGTTTCAGTCACTGGGGCTTAGGCCGGCCCAGACGGGCTTGCAGCTCCTGCATCATGCCGGGGTGCATGAGGTCAAACCTGAAGGCAGAAGTCAGGCCCATGAGAACGGGTTCCCAGGTGCCCACGGTCTCTTCCCCACCCCGGCCGAGTTGCCCTGTGCCTACCCATGTCCCAGGGGCCTTCTCCTGGCTGGCACCGGGGTCCCATCATGCCTCAGAGGGCTTGGCTCTGGGGGTTCCTCCGGCTGGAGGGGTCTCTGCCCAGGGGCCGACAGTTCCTCCTCAGGAGGACTGGGGGCTGGGGGCTCCTCCTGCTGCTCCAGGGCTGGAGTCCGACGAAAAGAGGGCCGGGAGCGACGTTGTGAGGAGCTTCTCGAGAGGTGCACGCGGCTCCTTGGGACAGAGACGTCTAGGAGGGACCCAGGGAGCGGGGCCTGTAGGAAAGGGAGCACAGAGGACCATGGGACCGGCTTCGGGATTCCACTCATTCCTCCCCAGACCCCACTAAGAGCCCTCACCTCACTCCAGCTGCTGGCAGCACCTCCTCTGGCACTGCCTGTGGCCTCAGCCGTCTCGGCTTCCCCGACTGACCCTGGCGCAGCTTCTGCAGGGGCCTGGTGTGTTGGCCACTCCTCCTGGCCCCTGACGTCGTCCAGGCTTTCTGGCTCAGTCTCCTTGGCCTCTGCCCTCCAGCCCCCGGTCACCATGAGACCCTCTGCATCAAGGAGCCTTGGTGCCTCTCCCTCAGGGTGGTGGTCCCCACGCCGCCCCTCACTGTCTTCCCTCTGTTCTCTCTCCTGCCATCCCACAGCCTTTTCTTCCAACAGCATCCACTCTTCTAGAAGCCCTGCAGCCTCCACCATGGCTCCCATCCCGTCTGCCCTCGCTGTCTGGGAGCCCACGCGATCCAGCCCACAGCTGTCCTCTGCACCTGCAGATTCCTCTGCCTCTACCCGCCCTCCCCCAGGTCCTCCCTCCCTGGCCTCAAAAGCCTCTGCTTGGCCACCTCTGCCTGCCACCTCTTCCTCTGCTGAGCCCTCCAGGCCAAATTCCTGCCCACCTGCATGCTCTCCTGCGGCTGTCTCTTCCCTTTCTTTCAAGTCCCAGCCTTGCCCAAGCGCCCCTTCCAAAGCTTCACCAGCACCAGCAGCGCTGACGTCTGGGTCCACCTCACCCCCCATAACCTCAGCAGCCACAGTGCCAGTCTGTGCGTCCTCACGGTCCTGGAGGTCCACAGCCACTGCCTGCAGCCTCCAGCCTCTCCTGGGTGTTCTGTCAGCCTCTGCCTCCCCATCCTTGGTTTCTCTGGCATAGGCCTCTCCCAGTGACAGGCCAGGCCCTGCGTCTGCTCCTGTGCTTCCATCCAGATCCTGGTTCTCTGAGACAGATGCCTCTCCCTCCTCAATTCCACATCCCGTGTCCTGGGTTGTCGGCCCCTCCCCGCCTGCCTCTGGGACTTCTGATAGTTCAGACTCTTGGTCTCCTTCGGCCTCAGCCACCAGGGTCTGGCCTCCCGCAGCCTCCTCCTCCCACTGCTCGCCATCGGCCGCATCCTCCTGGGTATTTCCTCTCTCCATGTCCCTTCTCGTGCGGTTTTCCCAGGCTCCTGGGAAGGCCTCGGAGGCCTCGGGCTTTACAGACTCCGCGTGCCTGGGACCTGCCTCCAGGCTCCTCTCCTGCTCCTCTTTGCTCCGGGCCAGAACTCCCTGGAGCTCCACCTCACCTGCCTCTCTTTCCTCGGGTTGCTTACTTGGGGTCTGGGCGCCTCCCATCAGCTCAGGTCCCTGGCCTTTGGTGACCCCGTGTGTGAGGCCACCCCATTCCACCCCCAGTGGGCCGTAGCTAGTCTGGGCCGCCTCGCTCTCCTCCCCTGTGAGCTCCTCCTCGGGCCTGGCCTCTGGAGTTACCTCCAAGTCAGCAGCGCCTTCAGCCTCTCCATCTGAGGGCAGCTCAGCCGCTAGATCCCTGCCACTCCCTCTCTCCTCCTGGGCCTCCTCTGCCTGTACCAGCTCCTCCAGCCTGGCCCAGTCGGCCCTGATCTCCAAGTCCCATCTCATCTCAGCCTCCTTCCCACACAGGTCCGCCTGACCCTCAAAGCTCTCCCCTGCCTCCTGGCCTCCCACAGCCTCCCTCCCCGCTGTCTGGCTCTCAGCAGCCTCTTCTGTTCTCTCAGTGCCCAGGACCTGGGCCTGTTTGGGGAAAGGGCTCACCTCAGCCTCTCTCTCCTCATCCCCCTCCTCCTCTGGGACCCAGACTTTTCCAGTAGCCTCTAGGAGCCTTTCTCCTGGGACTGCTCCATATTCTGTCTGTCTGACTCCCGGGAGGTCAGCCTCCTCTTTGCCTGAGGCTGTCCCGGCCTCCTCCCCTCCTGAGGTTGTCCAGGCCTCCTCCCCTCCTGAGGCTGTCCCGGCCTCCTCCCCGCCTGAGGCTGTCCCGGCCTCCTCCTCCCTGGCCGGGGCTGTCCCAGCCTCCTCCCCGCCTGAGGCTGTCTCGGCCTCCTCCTCACCTGAGATTGTCCTGGCTTCCTCCCCATCTAAAATTGTCCTCGCCTCTTCCCTGCCTGGGGTCGTTCCGGCCTCCTCTCTGCCTAAGATTCCCCAGTCCTCAGGCTCTGCCCCTGGGCCCCACGTCCCCCATGCCCTAGTGCTTTCACAGGCCTTCTCCACCACCACCACCTCTTCTCCTTTCCCAGCCCCTTCGGCCCCAGGCTCCTCAGTTTCCCCTGCATCTGCCTTCCTGACCCCCTGCTCCGTCTCCCGGTTGTCCCCCGCCGCCTTTGGCCCGCCAGCACCAGCCTTTCCCTCTGGCTCCCCGTGCCAGGTCCACTCTGACTCCGCCCCTCTGGCCATCCCTGGCTCTCTTGCCCTGACCTCTTCCTCCTCCTCCTCCTGTTCCCGGATTCTCAGCCTCTCCTCTCTGTTCACTTCCTGCTCATCGGGCTCCTGCCTCTCCTGGGCTTGGCCGCTCCTCTCTTGGCAAGCCCCAGACCCTGCCTTGGATTTCTTTCTGGCCTCCAAGGGGGCACTTGGCTCCTGGCACCTGGCAGCCTTGGCTGTCTCACCAGCCCCACTGTCCTGCCTCTCTGCTTGGGACCCATGGGAGCTGCCATCTCCCCAGCTCCAGGTCTGTTCCACAGCTGAGCTCCCCGCTTCACGTCTTCTGTCCTCTCCAGGCCCTCTCAGCCCTCCAGCCCCCTCGTTTTGGCTGCCTCTAAGGCCCTCCAGGGCCTCCTGGGCTTCCTCCTCTACAATCTTCCCTGTCCTTCCCACGGCCACCGCCCCCAGTTCCTCAGCCGCCTGTGCCTCCCGCTCTACAGTGGGAACTGCATCTCCCAAGAGGTAGGAGACAAAGGTGCCGAGGGAAGCCTAGGAAAAAAGAGGGAGGGGAGAGGCATTAAGGGGAGTCCCAGTCCTTTCCCTGGGGGTCCTGGCTGGAGGAGCCCAGGTTAAGGAACAGGGTACTGAGATCTGAGAGGAGAAGAGGATTTGCAGAAGGAGCCAGAAAGGGCATCGATTAGGGGTATGAGGACTCATGGGTGGAGGTGGGGCCTAAAATTCAGAAAAGATTAGGCCAGGAGTCTGCCTGATCCTGAGAAAGCAATCTCCAGTCTGAGGACATCAGAAGGAGGAGGGGAAAGGTGAGGCCCCAGGGGAGGTGCCCGGAAGTGAGGCCCCAGGGAATGGGGTGCAAGTCTCTGGCAGCTGTCTGCCCCTCTCACCAGTGCCCCCCTCAAGGCCTGGTGCAGCCCAGGGAGGTGTAGCCGGAGGAAGTCCATCCTGTCTGTCTGTGTCTGTGTGTCCAGAAAGCTGATAATGACCGTCCCCACCCACCAAGACAAGCCAATCTTCCCGAGGACTGAAGGCACTTCCTCTTCCCCTGTGTCTCCCTGATGTGTCCCCACCCCAGGCCCTGCCCACGGCCCCTGATGCCCACAGCAGCCCCCACTGCAGCCCGGGAAATGGGTGTACATCACACAGGGGACTCAGGTGCACATTTGGAAATAAAGGGTAATGGAGAGGCCAGAAAAGTCAAAGTGGGAGCAGGAGACCTTAGAACTGGGGAGGGGGAGAGGAAGGAGACATGCGGCAATAGCAGCTCAAGTGACTCAGGTCTTGTATGCGCACCTCAGCCATTTCCGTCTCCCCTACAA